TTTTATAGGAAGTCATATTGTACTGGGCAAAGATTATAGACCGAGCTATTGTGGTCAAATGGAAGCACTCAGAATCACATTTACCACACACTACTGTAAGAGAATTTAAGTAATTTATCCTCCACGTACATCTCTCAGTTTAACATTGACTCACAGAAGCTATTTTTACACCATGATCTTCTCTTGGCAGACCATTGGCGTGCCACTATCTAAATTGTGGCATATTTCGGTCTAACTGGTGCCTACTGGCCTTCAAAGTCTCACCACACTTGCTTTATAAACCTCCTCGTCTTTTGGAAGCAGAGTCAAGGGGCTTGAACACTCAAAGATCATACTGTGTTCATTTTTGAAATCATACAATGTTGACTTTTCAAATCCCCCCAGGCCTGTATTATTGATGGTAAATAAACTTCTACTTCTCCTACTTAAGACGTCCAGTTGGTCTCCAGCCTTTTACTTCTACCCTATCTTGGACGAGCTGAAAACGCTTACAACTACTACTACATACACCACCAGTCAAACTTGGACGCACCTCCTTATTTTACATTTTAGATACAGAGTACATCAAATATATGAGGTTATATGAAATTATGTAATAAAGAAGGATGGCTACTTTGAGGATTTCAATATAATATTTAATTGGAGAGTTTTTCTTTACTACATAATTCCAAATAATCTTGGTATTTGATATCTTCTGTATGTATCTAAAATGTAGAAAGTAGTAAAAACAAAACAAACAAACAAACAAAAAAACATTGAATGAGAGTGTATGTCCAGACTTTTGGTAGTGTACTTGGTCTAGTACAGGCATGTCCAAACTATGGCCCGGGGGCCAAATGCGGCCCTCGGACACATTTTTCTTGGCCCTCAGGCTTCCAGGTAAATTGGCCCAAATGACCTTGCATCAATTAAAAAGAAATTTTTTGCTGCAAGTTTTTTGAAAATCCAGCTTGATAAAGCAAATATTTTATATTTCGTGTGTAGTTTAAGGATTTTAGCATGAATAAAGACTGATGGCTCATTCTAACATGATAAACAGGCACATATTTCAATTATTCCCTGTACTGAGCACCAGTCTACGGTCCTCGATCGGCCCTCTGCTTCATCTGTGTTTAGAAATGTGGCCCTTGACGAAAAAAGTTTGGACACCCCTGGTCTAGTATAACAGGTTGTGGATGGGCATGTTGGGTTGCGACTTTCAGAAATCGATATACAGGGTTCCCACTCTTTTTCACTGACCAAATTTCAAAACGTTTCCATGATATTTCATAACCTTAAGTCAATTTTACAAGACTTTATGACATCCTACATGTGTAGAACTGATCAGACTTTTAGGGCTACATATGAAAAGTTAACCCTTTCCACTCACCTTATGGTTTGGTATTGTACTTTTTCACATTCAAAATACTGTCAGTGCATTTATTGTCATCTGAAACAAAAGGTGCAGATGTTTGGAAATAATCATAATAGCCTAATGAGAACTTAACTGAACACTGTAGCTGCGTAAAAGAAATACTAAAATTCCATGACTTTTCCAGGATTTCCATGGCTGTGGGAACATTGTACATAATCTCCCACAACATAACAAAATTTCATTAAATAGTTTTTTTCTAGTAGTATCTTTTGCCTCTGAATGATATTCAAAATTACCTCTTTAAAGGCCCAGAACCTGGTTTTAACTTTCTTGAAAACGGATTTTAAGTTATTCCTCACAGAGCTTTGCCTTCATGGTAAAGCTAACAACAATTGGCATGCTAAGGTGCACTTCCTGTTTACCAGACAATAAAACACTTCATAATTTGAGGCAGACACCGCAAAACTTACTTACCTTGACCTCGAGAGATGCTTATACAATAAATCTTTACTGGGGCAAGACCAATTTTGCTCAAAAATACATGGGAATCTCTTCAAATGCTTGAATCTGGGGGAATTCTTCAAACTTCATTTTTAATTTGCACGGAGTAACTTTTCTGATGAGGGGTCATACCTGCTAGGCTCCATGGAGATGTCATTTGGTGTTAGACGTCATGAAACTCTTCGAAATGATCTCATCTTTTTTTCCCTATTTATTCCCAATACATCCCATTACTATTAACCACAGCACCTCGCGCCGCAGACCTTCAACTTTCGCTTACGTACATCCACAATTACTAAAACAACACAACTCCAGCCGCCTCTCCTCTCCGCGAGCTCCCCACCGCGCCGCACTTAGAATTCCAATGCCTCTCCCCTTTGAATAACCGCCTTGTTTGCCATTCCCTCTGCGTTGCCGTGTATTCCGCCGTAATACGTCGCGAGATGGCAAGGTTAGCTCATTATCCGGAGTTCAACGCATCCGTCATATCATCTATTAATGGGCCTCTACGCCGTCCACTATCCGGTCAATAATGCATCTTGTGTCCAGTCAACAGCCCTGACATGACAATCAGTTACGGACGCACGCCGAGCCAAAACAAACGCGCCGGTGATTTGTAAAGACAGGGGACAAGACGGATTAGGATGTCGGGGTATTGTGGCGCTGTTAAATGGCCAGCCCAGCCCATTGTTGCCGTGGTAGTCGATCATTGAAGTCATCCCTTCCACTGTATTGGACAGGTGTTAGCTCGTTGTTCTGAGCGCGTGGCGGTGGCGTTGTCACGACTGGAGCTGATGGGGTTTGTGAAAGCGCGTTGTGATGGAGGTTTTGAAGCTTTGAGCTACGGGGGGTGTTTATTTAAGGCTCCGTGGTGGTTTTAAGATGTTTTTTCAAAGGTTTCAAAAAGGGTATGTGTGTTTGGCAAGATGTCGAAATTGTTTTACAAATGCTGCAAGTGAGTCTTACCAAAAAACGTGAAAAGCTAGACGATTTTAAGCAGTTTGCAGTCCAAAGTTATTTCTCATCTACTTTATGCATTCTGAGCATCATAATTATTCACCACGATGAGCTTATAAGCGATTTTCACAACTGTCAGAGACCAGAGGTACAGCGTTTGATTTTTTTTACCAAAAAACGTGAGAAACTAGACGATTTTAAACAGTTTGCAGTCGTCCAAAGTTATTTCTCATCTACTTTATGCATTCTGAGCTTCATAATTATTCCCCATGATGAGTTTTTAAGCGATTTTCACAACTTTCAGAGACCATAGAGATGGTAAAGAGGGATACAGGCCTGGCATTTGATTTTTACCAAAAAACGTGAGAAACTAGAAGATTTTAAATAGTTTGCAGTTGCCCAAAGTTATTCCTCATCTACTTTATGCATTCTGAGCATCGTAATTACTCACCACGATGAGTTTATAAGCGATTTTCACAACTTTCAGAGACCATAGAGATGGTAAAGAGGATTACTGGTGCGGTGTTTGATTTTACTGAAAAACTTGAAACACTAGATGATTTTAAATGGTTTGCAGTGGTCCAAAGTTATTCCTCATCTACTTTATGCATTTATCATAATTATTCACCATGATGAGTTTATGAGCGATTTTCAGAACTTTCAGAGACCATAGAGACAGTAAAGCTAACTGCAACCAATATCCAAAGATGCACTTCCAGATTATCAAACAATGAAACGCTTCACATTTAAAGTTTTGCATTTAACAAACTTAAATTCTAGCTGTTTTTTGGTTACATGCTGCTATTCTGACATGCAGCCATTGAGATATTGACGTCCAATTGTCTGAATAGTCTCATAAACATTATTTAAGTGTGCCACCACTTCGACTTTTATTTTTTCTTTTAATTGTTAGAGTAGAGCCATTTTACTATTTTTCAAACATGCCGCTTTTCCGACATGAACAATATTAATGTGATAACCTATTATACGTTGCACATCCATATATCATTAAAAGAATACTTCGGGCACATACATTGGAAATCAGACCGTGGGAAAATGTCCTAACTGATCGCTGTGTGTGTGTGTGTCGTCATGCGTTTTAAAAAAGAGCATAGGCCAGAACTTCGGGAAAACATTGAATCTAAAACAGAGGCTGCATGGGCCCTTTGTGCTTCATTCATTTTGTCATGTAGGTGATCTGCGGAGAACACCGTATAGCCTAAACAAATAACCAATCAAGCTCAAAGAGATGATGAATATTAAGCGTCGGAAAACCGGCTCGTCTAAATAGAGACATGTTGTAATGAAGGGTTGTTGGAATAGGCGACGGACCCCCTGTTTTTTATCCTGGTTACCACTGTAATTGAGAAAAAACTTAACTCAGTAATTAGGGATGTAACGATACCCAAATTTCACTGTACGATATTGTCACGATATGCATCTCACGGTACGATATTTTGAAGAGGCGAACGTAATTGTAGATGGGACACTTTTTTGCTTTTAAAACACCTTTTAAAACACCGATTTTGGTGTGAATTATTGCGTCGTAATCCCAAGAATTCAAATAAAAAACATATTCATGTTATCTGGACTGAAATGAATCATGGGATATGTAGTTCCCAATGTTTATAAGATGTTGTTACTATAAAACCATGCATTTAAGCAAAGGAACTAGTAATTCGATATATTGTGATGACCCACGATATTATTGTGAGACTTTTGACAATACGATATCACGATATTTTGGTTATTGTTACATTGCTATCAGTAATCAGTCATTGTTTAACAGATACATTCTACAACATACTAGGGCAAAAATCTCCAAAGGTACTATGAGCCCTGAGTACATGATTAAGAATATGAATGTGCTAATCATGCTTTTTGGATCCAAATCTCATTTTGAAAATATGAGTTCAACACAGCTCATTAGCAGCTTGCAGATTTTGGATATACCTAACACTTATGAAGGTGTGTGATGCTGTGTGAGTGTGAATAGGTCAGAGTTTGAGAGTTGCCACTGTCTAAACTAAACTAAACTACACTGAAACTACACCAGACTTCTCGACACTTCTGCTTTCCCTTTCACTCTGTTGGCACCATGTTGATAGAATTAATAAATCAAATCACAAATGGAACTTCAAATATCACTGAAAAACTTATCGTATCCTTGTTTGTTTTTGTTTTTCAGCGGGAGACCATCCGTATGAGTGTGAGTTCTGTGGGAGCTGTTTCCGGGATGAGAGCACGCTGAAGGGGCACAAGCGCATCCACACCGGAGAGAAGCCCTACGAATGTAACGGCTGTGGCAAGAAGTTCAGCCTCAAGCACCAGCTGGAGACGCACTACCGCGTGCACACAGGTACACACACAAAACACTCATATTCAGCACTTAACACCCAAATATTCCTCATGACTTAGGCTTTATTGAGCATTGCTTGTTGCCTATTGGACCATTTGTTCTTTTGGATTTCAATTAAGAACAAAAAAACAATAAAATGAGAAAACTGTTTATTTCATTATTCTGTTTTCATGTCAAACAAACAAACAAAAAAACTGATTTCAGCCTCTATTTCCAATATTTAATTCAAAGTTAATTTCAAATAACACCATTCGGTGCCTATTTTATTTTGATATTTTATTCTCTCTGGTTTATTTGCCCCGGAAGTTCTGCTTCTTAACGCGACACATGAGCATTCATTGTCAACTAAACAAAAGAGAGTTTATTGCCTCGCTGTTTCCTGTTTCTCATCATGGAGTTCAACAATTGCTTTCCAAGACGTGAAAATAAACGCGTCACTATAAAATAAGAGACATGTTTGGCCACAAAATTGAAAAGATTTTTTTAGGTAAGTCCTTCTAGCAGCAGAACTTCCACGGCTAAACCAGAGAGAGAAAGAGAGAATAAAATATCAAAATTAAAATAGGCACCGAGACAGTTTTTTGATTGGTATTATTGAAATAAAATGAAATATTGGAAATAGAGGCTGAAATCTGTTTTTTTGTTTGACACTAAAACAGAAAAATGAAATAACAAACTGTTTTCCCATTTCCCATGGTACACGGACATCTACTTTGTTGTAAGAGCTCCTTCTTAAAAACTAAGTTATTCCTCAATTATCTCATAAGCACTTTTCACAACATTTAAGAGGCCAGAGCAGAGTTTTGCCATCATAGTAAATATAGAACAAGCACCGACTGTTTGGATTTGGCAGACTTTGAAGTTACAGCTGTTGTTTTAGCCTCGTTGAAACTGCTTCACTTCTCAATGACTTAGACTTAGACAGACGTTATTAAGGGAAACTACTTGGACACAGAAGCTCACGAATCACATTAGATTACAATAACAGAGTTAAAAAATTAAAAATTAATAAAAATGGTAATAAACTTCTCAATAAGTAGCAATAAAAATAGCAAAAGATTGGTATCAGTAAGACATAAATATAAATGTATGTACAGTAAGTAAAAAAACAAAACAAATATCAGAATATATATACAATATATCACAGTTATATACAAGACGTCATAAAGAAACCATGCAAAAATGGAGTGATGATTGACAGAAACATTTTATTATCTGTTACATAAGGATGCACCAGAAGATTTTACAAGACATTTCGATTGACAATTTCAAAAGTTAAAACTAAAATACTCAAAAACGTGACAACTTGAGGTAATTTAAAGTATTATATAAAGAAAAACAATTGAGTCCTAAAAATAGCTGTTAACCTTAAAACTACCACTAAATGACATCACAAGGTGCAACACAGCATTTTGAGCTTTGAGGATGCAGACAGACCAATAATGCAAGATTACAAAAACATGCGTGAATGAAACAAAACAGAAATCCAGATCTATTTTTGGTGAGGTTTTGTGTATATAGGGCCTTCAAAAACGCCATATACTGTATACACGATGTGAAAAAGATCTCCTCCAGCGTTTGACCACTGAATACACAAAGAGCAGTGGACGCGTAACAACTTAAATCCATTCATCATAATCATCTTTTCAATTCTCTCTACACTCGACGTTTATGGATATTTAATTACATATTTGGCTTACACGACATTGACATCTGGGATCTGTTAATGACCCAGTGCTGATCGCATCATTAAAACCACTGTACATCACTCACACGATGTAACGCAAATAAGACGGCTGTATGAAGGGCCTGCACTCAAGATTTTTATCCATACATTTGAGCCCCAGTACAGATATATGCCGCAGTCTATTGAACGTCGGTGGTCGATAAAGATGAGTCAGATCTCCCAACATCGTTGTAAATGCGTTCCATCACAGCAGTTGGAAAAAAAAAAAGGATGCCCGAGCAGAAACATCTGGACCCACATGCATCAGCTCATCCAACCTCTCCATTCCCAAAAATCTCTGGTTTCTCATTCAGACTCTGATTATGCTGGCCAAATATCATATACGCAAAACAAAATAGACTCAAAATAAACCAAACAGGCACCATTATAATAAAGAAATACAACAATATTTCCAAATAAAACTGGGCAAAAACAAAAAAGCTACTGAAACATACAATACCTATAGGAAATACTTAAAACAGTGTCACACTCCTGTTACAATTCCTTTTATTTGGTTAAGCATACTTGTCTTTTAGCTAACGGTAGTTGTTGGCGACTCAATTATGTCAGTTTGACTCTTACATGTTGCAAAAAAAAAAACTTGTGTCTACTGTGAAATGATGTGAAAGAAAGTCTAAATGTCACTACAAAGTTTTTAGAAGACACTTTCTCTACACATACACAACACATCAAAATGACAAAAAGACTATTCTTGTCCGAGTTTGTGTTTCGGAACCCCGGTTTGATTGGGCGTTTCATTGCACTTTCTTGAGGTGGAGGTCGGTTTTCTATAGCCAGGCCACCTAGTGCCTCCGCTCAATTTCATTTCTCTCCAGCGACTAGGTCAGGAATCAGAATACACTAGATGGGTCGCAAGAACCCTGGACATTGTAGACCGCACACAGGCCAATCAGCGAAGAGCTGTGAAGCCATGATGTCAAACTCGTCGCGCTTGTCTGGGTCCCTTTTGTGGTACAGCACAACAGTAAACAAAGTGGTCGAGATGGATGTAGACGAAGACAGACATTCTGTGTTGGCAACGATTCCCAAGATCGAGGATTTAAAGCCAAAACAAAAAAATGTTTGGTGAATTTTATCAAGCGGAAAGACGTTATTGCCCTTCTTCCTACGAGATTTGGTGCATTGCAAACGTCACGACCAAATAGCAGCAACTGGTTAAATAAAAAAAGTACCCTCCTACCATTGAGCGAAACAAATCCCAATGATAAGTCAGGCTAGGTTTTCCCCGAGTCCTGAGCACAATAGGATGCAGATATATTGATGCTTGCTGGTGGTGTTCTACATGTAGGTACATGGAGACAAAGGCTGCGTTCAGACTGCAGCCTGAAGTGACCCAAATCCGATTTTTTGGCTTCTATGTGACCTGTATCTGATCTTTTAATGACCGTCTGAACGGCACAGATCCAATTTTTTCAAATGCGACCCAGGCCACTTGGATATGTGGTCATGAAACCGATACATATCTGATCTTTTGACATGCGACTTCAGTCTGAACAGCCAAAGCGCATCCATCCGACCTACACGTCATCAACAAGCCACAAACGTCACTATTCTGCGCTGAAGCAGGCGGAAACCGGAACTGTAAAATCGTCAGGTGCTCAATGCCCGCGTCCATGTTTGGACAACTTCCGTAAACACAGAGCACGCTCGCTGCGGTTGACGCACGGGGTTGACGTCATTGTGTCCTCCAGTACGCATGCGGGACACTTTCGGGCCGTTTACTGTTCACACTGGAGTCACAGACAAGTCGCATTTAATTGGAAATGTGAACGACCTCGCAAAAACATTGGATTTCACAAAAAAATCAGAAGCATTAAGCCCTGCAGTCTGAACGTAGCCAAAATGCACACATTTGCAAACACAGACAAAAAAGTTTTAAGACAGTTTGAAGACTCAAGAAAAAACACAAAATGGATTTAAATAACACATTTCCAGGAGCCTGTGATCAGTACGAGCGTTCATCGTCCAGTTTCGGTGTTTTGAGTTTCAACACAAAGCTGAGAGTGACTGTTGGCTTGTAATTTTACATGTGAAAGACTTGTTTAAGCGCACAAATCATCACATATTGTTGTTCCAAGTCCTTTCTCTCTGGTCAGATTGTGTTAAAGTAAAGCTCAGACTCACCGAGCTTCAGACAGAGTAGTACCTCCAGTTAGCACCACACCCCCAGGGAATGTTGTTGACATCAGCTGCAACATAACAATTGTATAAGCAGCTCTTCAGGTCAAAATAACTCGGCTTTGTACTGTCTGTATCGAATTATAAAGAGGTTTACTGTCTGAAAAGTGCGCGGTTAGCATGCTAGTTGGTGTTAGAGAATCATGAAAAGTGCTTATAAACTCATCGTGGTGAATAATTAGGATACTCAGAATACATAAGGTAAGTGAGGACTAACTTTGGACCACTGCAAACTGTTTAAAATGAGCTGGTTTTGTTTTTCACGTTTTAAGGCCGTAAAAAATCAGGTTCTGCGTCTTTAAGTCCACAAATCCGACGAGCATGGATGCGTCTGGATGGATTTCCCTGTTGCCGTGATACAGTAGACAAACGCGGGGTACTATTGATCCGTGTATATTTAGAGCCTCATAAAGATGCTGATAAGTCGGGAGCCAACCACCGACCGTGTGTGGTGAAGACGCTGTACCTGATTTTTACTGTCTTAACAATGTGGAAAACAGAACCAGCTCGTTTTAAAGGGTCTGCAGTGGTCCAAAGTTATTCCTCACTTATCTTATGCATTCTGAACATCCTAATGATTCACTGTGCACAAGTTTATAAGAGCGTTTAACAGCTTTCAGAGTCCAGAGAGCAGAGTTTTAATTGAACTAGAATTCTAACAGCGCCTTACTACTTGGTTTGCGAACAATAAAATGCTTTATAATTTGATGCACACAGCACTTATTTGGACCCTAAAAGTAGGTATATTACATTAAAAAATGATTCAAATCTAAATCCAAATCCACTTTATTTCTGTTACACATTTTACAAACAAAGCAGTTACCAAAGTGCTGCACAGAGATCATAAAATGAAGACAACAAAAAGGTAAATTGCAAAAATGTGGTCATACCAGTCCTAAAACAATACAACCAGTAAAATCTAAACAAAAATAAAATCTATAAAAATCATAAAACATCTTTTAAAAGTACAAAACGGTTGATTTTAACATATTTTCTCATTCAACGCAAACATATGTGCCTGTAGAGTAAGAAAATGAAGTCAATTGCATGTTGATTTTGTAAAATTTACACCAGA